CATAATACAAACATATCCTTGGAAAACCCTCTATTTTCCTCTATCTATGCTCTGTTGCAGTGTGGTGATTCAGCACACCAGTGGCCAGCAGTGGCTCACTAATGGTCAGCAGTGGCTTCATCCTTGGCCGGCAGTATACTCCTCTGGCCGGCAAATGGCCGGCAACCGCCAATCATGGCCGGCAGGCCACTGGTGCAATCCTCAGCATTGTTTTAGTAAGGTGAAGCATAAAGTTCTTGGAGTAAGTTCAAACCTATAAACAGAGCCTCTCAAGAGCAAACCGGTGGGCTTTTCGGGCAAAAACCGAATGCATGCGTCTTCCATGTTCTAAAGCAGAGCTGAGGCAGTGTAGTTAATGCTTTACATGTTTAGTGTACATTGGTTTTGTAATTTAATTAATTAGTTTGCTAATTAGTTAAGTGTTGTAATAATTAAGTAGCTTAGTTTAACTATTTCTTTATTGTGTTGTAATAATTAGTCTAATTAGTTTAATTAGATTAGTTTGATTAGCTTAGCTTAGTGTAGCTCAGCTTATTTATTCGGACCCTTCTTCGCGAGGGCGCAACGTTGTAATAAGGGTGCGTGCGTGTGTGCATATCTTCCAACCCCACATCTTTCTCCCTTTTATTTATCCAGTTTCGATGGTTAGTTTAGGGATCATGTTTCGATTAGCATATCTTATGCTTGCATGTTTGCATCATTCATTTGTCTTGCATGCACCAGACTCGGCGCATCATTCAAACTGCATTGTATTTCAATACTTATTTAAATACATGTTTCAAAGCATGTTATCAAATTGTTGCATTCACATGCCATGATTTAGTAGCCGAGCCTATTTAGTTACATTATTGCATGTGTTGTATTAGGCATCTAGCATAGTTAGGATCATACATTGTTTCTAACTAATTTTTGTTTTGGCTTGGAGTACTCGGTAAGTTTTATGCTTTAGCATACTTGCATGAGTGTGATTGCCATGATATCATGTTTCGCATGCTTGCCATGAGGCTATGTGCTTACTTGCTTAACTGCACGAATGCATGTGGATGAAAGCTTTGTTACTTGAATTGGAATAATTCGATAAATGTGAGTTTTAAGCCCACTTTGCGAAGTGGCAAAATCATGTTTTAAGCCCACCCGAGGGTGGAAAATCCACGCTTTAGCCCACTTGAGCCTGACATTTTCAAACCATTTTCGAAAACAAACATGAGTTGATTTGTTCCAAATCCTGCGACTTAGTCTATACTTGTATGTGTGCGTCACATAGTAAAGTTAGCTAAATAACCGGAATAAGAACACATGAGATTTATAAAACAACATATCATGCTTAGTAGAGGCCAATCCTTTGATCGGGCAAGCGGGGGTGCTCATTTCAGGACCTTCTCCTCTCGTACCCAAGTTCCCGAGCCGAGGCAACTTTGGTGATGACGAACACGTAACCTTCGGCACGAGTCAGGGTTTCTTAAATTTTCCAAAACAAAATATTTAGGTGGCGACTTTGTAATCTGGCAAAGCAGTCCAGTTTTGACATTATTTGATTCAAAATCTGATTTTCCAAAATGATTTACCGAATTAGACTCTTTGGTGTTTATCAGTCTCACATTGCACTTTGTGAGATTAGATTCAGAACCGTGACAGGAGTCTGAACTGTAGGACCAATTCGAGCTCTTCGAAAGGAGCGCGCGAAGAAAGTCGAGTCTACAGGTGGTCCAAGCTTGCCAATGATGAGCACTACAATTATATGAAATAACCAACAAGATAATTTACATTTACAAGATTGAAGAAAGAATCAGCCTTTTCATTATGAGAAATCTTGTTTATCACTGAATATATATATTAGGGGTGTGAGCCTATTAGATGGGTGCGTTCAAAATATAAATTTTAATTTTGATTGATCACAGATTTTCTATATTATTTAAGTAATAAAAGTATTTTCAGTAAGTTAAGTGAATAGTCTTAGGTTCAAATCTTGTGTCCCTCTTTTAACTATATATTTTTTTTTTTTCCTTTTAGATTGAGAAATTGACACTTGACGCAAGAAGAGAATGTTACTTTGCAAAAGGAGAGAAGGAAATTCATAGACACCAAGTGAGATTCACTTTTAATTATATATATATATATATATATATGCATGAAAATGAGTTTTCCCATTTTTACTGATTATTAGCTTGACATATGTAAGACACCTTTCACAGACAAATAGTTTATATTAAAAATAAATAAAAATTTTCAGATTTAAATTAATAAAATTAAAAATTCAATGTTTATTTTGTTAGAAAGGTCAAATTCGAGGATTCCTTTTTTTTTCTTTTCTTTTTTTGTAATTTCCCTTGTATATACACACACTTTCATAAAAGCTTATAACGTTTTTGGTGTGAATACTTCTATGTCATGCTTTTTTATTTTTCAAAAATGCTCACGACAGTTTGAAAATTACTTATGTAGAAAATTTATTCAAATATTCAAAGTTTTACAAATAATTTGAAATTTTCAAATATTCTTAAATTACGTACATTTACACATGCATTACGTGTACATCTATCGCTAGTATATATATATATACAGTATTGTAGGTGGGGGTTCCATGGCACCCCTAGGCTTTCGAATAATCCCAATAAATACCTTCTTCTTCTTCCTTCTTCTTTTTTCTTTTTTCTTTTTCGTAAATGCAAAAATGCTTCACTTTCTTTGTAGTGACACTTCCAATTTTAGTTGGTTATGATCAAATATGGATGATTGTGGTGATTGAAGAATAGAAAGAGATTCATTAGAAAATTTTATAGTTGTTTAATTTTCTTGAGATTGTTAAGTTCCTTCGATTATTTAATATTTTTAGAACTAACAAGAAAGAGATGAAATAGTATATAGTGGTTGATCCAAGTTCTTTTCCATTGTTGAATTTCTTTTGTAATTTTATAGAGTAACTTTGTTGATTTTTTTGTAGTCCCATGTGAATTGTTTATTGTGCAAAAACCAGCTATCCAACATACTCACCAACTATGAGTAAAAAGGCCACTCTCTCTAAAACACACAGCCTCTCTCTTTGGTTTCCATTCTAGAGGCATTCTGAACCTAGATCTGCCACCAGATCTGCCTTCTCCTTGCCTCCATGGTCCCACCCACTTCAAATCTACCTCCACCCTTTCTCCACTTCTTTGCTCCACCAAATCTGACTAGGCCACTAGTGTGGTCACTGTCTCTCCATGTGTCTTAGGTCTGAAGGTAGTCTCTTGATTTGTTTTGTTTTTTGGTGTTTGGTTGTGTAATTAGGTTTTCATCAGTGTTTCATTGTTGCTTACCCATTTTTGTGGATGTAGCCTACGATTTTTTCTCCCACTCGCCCTATTATCGAACTCTTATGATTGACTCTATTTTGTAGTACGAGCTTAGCATCATGTTTTTCTCATAACTAATCCTCCGTGCTTTCATTTGATTTTTTTTTTCTTATTTTGGGGTAAGTTTTTTGCTAGATGGATTCCTTGCAAGTGTTGTTTGACTTTTATACTTTAATGAAAATATCTATTGATCAAAAAAAAAAAAGAAAAAAAAAAATACTCACCAACTGAACTTCTTGATCATTTTACTGTCCAAGAATTGTGAGAATATTTTATCTTTTCAAAATTTGAAAGGAAATGAAGAAATTGAATTGAAATTACTAAATTTTTTCAATGAAATCATTGAGTACATGTCAAAATTGATTTGTTGTTATTTATTATTTGCTCAAATTTTGAAACAATTTTATAAAAACTGAGTTGTAAATGAGGGATTATAAGACCAAATTGAGCTGAAATGACTATTAAAATGAGAAATTGTACTGTATTTATTATGATAAAATTGTTGGGAAACCGAATCCATATCTGATTAGGTAAAGTGGAGTGAACATATGGAAGGATTACCAATTTGGCACCCTCATATATATATATATAGGAAATGAAAGATCAATGTATTAAAACTCAAGTATAGTTAGAAAATTCAATTTTAAAACTATCTGAAAAAGTGTTCTCAGAAAAACAAATTGTTGTCAATCCAAAAGGAGTTAAAAGGAATTATCAAAATTAATTTCTTCACCTCATTCATAATCAAGGCAAGCACTCTAGGCAAGAGTATGAAAATAGTAGGTACACAACATCTCCCAACTTTTTCTACGAAGAGACTTGATTCTCATGACTCGATCCTGTGCCACAATATTAGGAGAAGTAGCACTTGCCATCACTCGAGGCCTAATTATGAGAAGTTGTATTGTATTTATTATGATAAAATTGTTGGGAAACCGAATCCATATCTGATTAGGTAAAGTGGAGTGAACATATGGAAGGATTACCAATTTGGCACCCTCATATATATATATATAGGAAATGAAAGATCAATGTATTAAAACTCAAGTATAGTTAGCCTCCGTTTGAGAAGTGGGTTGACTTTTTTGACTTTTTAACTATTTCAACCTGAGCTATTTTAGCCTGGTTTGGGAAGGACTTTTTGACTTTTTAACTTTTTTGACTTTTTTGTGAGAAATGATTGTAATGATTATGGGTTGAATTTGATGTTTTGTTTTTTGTGGCTAAAATAGCCTATTTTGTTTTTTGTGGCTATTTTAGCCAAAAAAGCCTGATTTTTTTCTTCCCAAACGGAGCCTTAGAAAATTCAATTTTAAAACTATCTGAAAAAGTGTTCTCAGAAAAACAAATTGTTGTCAATCCAAAAGGAGGTAAAAGGAATTATTAAAATTAATTTCTTCACCTCATTCATAATCAAGGCAAGCACTCTAGGCAAGAGTATGAAAATAGTAGGTACACAACATTTCCCAACTTTTTCTACGAAGAGACTTGATTCGCATGACTCGATCCTGTGCCACAACGTTAGGACAAGTAGCACTTGCCATCACGCGAGGCCTCGGATTCCATGAAAAATCTTCCCTTTTCTTCATAGGGAAATGTATCTTCAACAAAATCTTCTTATAAATGACATGTAAGAATCACTTGGAAGCCAAAAAAAATCAGCCTAAATATCAATGACAGGAAGATTGGCAAATTACAATGAAAATATTGCTCTGATTTGATCCTTTTGGACATATAAAACTCCAAATTAACAAATACAAAATAAATTTGGAACTTCACGATGCTCCAACAATCAACTGTAATTATTGATGCTAAGCTATGAATTCATGCTAAACAAATGGATAAAACAATATCAGGCTACAGCTGCTATTATTTCCTCGCATTATTCACATTGGGGCGAATTATTATTATGCACACACTTCAGCATCTAGACAAACAAAAACAGGAACAAAATTTAATATCACTAAACCTGTACAATTGTGGGACAGGATCATGGTACGTCGCATCTCCCTTTTAAGCCATGTATCTGTTCCTCAGTAGTTTCTTGTTTTTCACTTGCGAGCAGAGTGGTAAAGTTCCAAGTAATCAAGAGCTGGCCGGTTCCATGACCAGTCCTGCTCCATCACCCGCTTGCATAACGAGTTGAACCAATCCCTACCATCATACCAAGCAGAGATTGCTCTGTAACGTAATAACTGCCGAGTAAGTCCTCTATGTACTCACAAACATATGGAAACCATATATATACATATATATATAGAGAGAGAGAGAGAGAGAGAGGAGTAGGGCATAGTCAAGCCAATGTTACTAGAAAATGTTAATACCCTAGAAATTTAAGTTTTAGAACATGTTTCAAAACTTGGGGTAGGCTTTTCATTCCAAAATAGTGAATTTAGCGATCCAAAGTGATTCCAAAAGTTCTCTTTATTTTCTTAAAGTTTCGCTTAGGATGAAAAAAAATGTAGTATAAATGAACTAAAATTCAAGGAGAATGGAGTTTTGGTGGAACAAAATATGCAAAATGGGCTATAATACACTTCAAAATTTGTTTAGGGAAAATTGCTCTAATAATTAAATGCAACTTTCTAATAGTGTAATTTAAACAAGTTTATCCTTATTGTACCATATTTTAAAGCATGTAGTGAATTGTGTTCTGGTTCCCAGTCCTCATACCGAAATGATTGTGTTCCAGGTAACATAGGTCAAGCATATTGTATTATATAATCAAGCTGAAGTGAAGAGATAATTTTGTTATTTATCTATATAACTCTCCTCAGTCCTTTGATTTCTGCCCTGACAATTCAAGGGCATAGAAAAGAAAATAAGAGAAGCTGAATAATTTCCCTCATGAGAGGTAGGGACTGATAGAAGAAGTGTAATATTATTTGCTCATGTTAGTAGCTCAACCATAGGATCATCTTACGTGATGTTTTTATGTTCATTACTCATACCCAAAGTTCCTGACTCGTTGGGTAAAAAAAAAGAAAAAAAAAAGAAAGAAAAAAAAAATGAATGAGCAAATTTCCCAATAAAAACTAAAATACTGAAATTGTCAAAACAAGAAGAAAGAAACATTTCTGTAATTTGTGTGACAAGGATAAAAGTCCACTCACCGATTAAGAGCGTAATCAACACTGGCTGCATCAGCTCCATCAAAACTGAACCCATTTGGTTCAAGACCTTGAGCTTCTGCTCTCTCTTTATCATTGTCAACATCAAATACAGTATCGTAAAGTCCTACAGGAGGAACCAAGGGTTGTTATAACTGTTAAACACAATATCAAACATTTAAGCCCAATGAAGGAACAAAATGCCAAAGATTACTGTACAGTGTTGTATCATTCTGATTCAAAAGAGTATAAAAATCATTAAAGCAATTGCAAAAATCAGGGATTTGTTAGAATCCAGTGATGAAAATTTCTGGGTCATCTTTTCTAACAACTTGAGCATTTGGGACAACTAGTAAATTAACATGGTATCAGAGCACAAAGTAGGAGAGGTCTTGGCTTCAAATATCTCTGTGTGCATTTGTTTCCTATTCGCATAATGTTTCTCTACATGTTTAGATGTATGCACCTCCACATGCCAGAGACAGGGTTGCAACGAAAATTTGATGTAAAATGGAGGTTATCATAAATAAATAAATAAAAATAGGGTTTATGTGAATTAGCTATGTTACAAAAAGAATCAGGATTTATATGCACACTGAATAAGTCGTGAAATTTGAATCTAAAAATTGCAAAGAGTTGTGTTACAAACAGGAAAAGAAATCAAATTCAAACAGGAAAAGATCATTTCCCTGAGCTGAGACAAGCAAAGAACTGTGCATCAGTTACTAAACATTGAGGCTTTCACACGAAACAAAAGACAAAAAAGAATAACAAAACAACTAAAAAACAAAAAAACAAAACAAAAACAAAAACAAATACAAATACAAATACAGGGAGGATTATTCTATAACAGCTTTAAGGTGGAACATCAGCACAAAATTATGAAGAGATCATTCAAATAAAACAATGTCTCAGTAGTCAGGACAGGCAACAATATTGCTTAAAACGTAATTATACCAGAAAAGAAAAAAGAAAACCAACAAATATGAAAGGTGAACACACCTCCAGTTTTACGAACAACAGGTATTGAACCATATCTCATTGCTGTCAGTTGAGTTAATCCACATGGCTCGAATATTGAAGGGACTAAAATAAAATCTGCACCGGCATATATCTACAATAATAATCCAAAATAGTCAGTAACACAAGAGCCATATCACAGGCATAAGAGGTGAATAGGAATAAAAATTATAAATCTGAGTTCCATGAGAATATACCAAATGAGAAAGGGGCTCATCATAGGTCAAACACAGGCGTGCACGGTCACCATATGAAGAATGCAACTGATTTGCCAAATTAACAAAATCATTTTGAATGCGAGGATCTGGAGCAGAACCCAGCAATACAACCTGCCATGATCCATTCCATGAGCATTGAGTGAGAGAGAGAGAGAGAGAGGATTAGCAAGTATTTAAGAAACAGTCACAAACTTCAAAAAAAAATTAGAAGGTCCAGCCCATTTCCAGTTTTCAGATGGATGGTCTACATCAAAGTAAAAATTACACATCCTAGGTAAGACTGTTGATTGTTTTTTCGCTCAAAAAGAAAGAACGAGAAAAAGATTGATTACCTGTCCATTGCGATCAAGGGTGCGCCCAATGGCATGCTTGATGAGGTGGATCCCTTTCTGATGAGTTAAACGAGTAATAATTCCTAACAGAGGCAGATCAGCTGTTTTGATCCCAAGTCTTTGCTGCAAGGCTTGCTTGGCAGCCCTTTTGCCTTCAACAACATTTTCAGAAGTATATGATACCTGCAAGAAAATGTAACACAAGAATTAGCCACAATGTTTGAGTCAAGGAAAAAACGTGTAGCACTGTTGCATCTAAAAACTTCCAACTCACTGGGAAATAAAAGAAAGATAAGATGGAACAAATTATAGAGGAATAACCAAAATTAAATTATGGGCACCAATTGTCAACTTTTATTCCGTATTAGGTATAGATTACCCTAATCCATTCTATATGCAAAATAGCAGAGCAGGTACATGCATTAGTAGCATAACAAAAATGCTTTCCTCATCATTAATATGTTTGCTCACAGTAACTGTGGCATCTCAGAAGAACTGATGACTGCATCTTTGATGCATTGCTAGTATTGGCTAGTTGTAAATAGCCCCTTCTATTAACTGGTTTATGTATTGGACTCATTTGCTCCACAGGTGGGAACTAATTGTTAGAATATATGTTAGAATTATTATGATTATTGTTTCCTTATTTAGATTATTGTGATTCCCTTAATTGGTGCCTTAACTCCTTTGTAAGATTTTGATTGATTAATATAAAAAGGAGTGATATCATAATCATCCCTGCTAGTATTGGCTAGTTGTAAATAGCCCCTTCTATTAACCGGTTTATGTATTGGACTCATTTGCTCCACAGGTGGGAACTAATTGTTAGAATATATGTTAGAATTATTATGATTATTGTTTCCTTATTTAGATTATTGTGATTCCCTTAATTGGTGCTGTTAGAATTTACCATAAATCTCTCCACCACTACCACCTCACCTACTCCACTAAACCTAACCCACTACACCACTACCACCTCCACTTCACCTACTCTCCACCACTACCACCTCACCTACTCCACTAAACCTAACCCACTACACCACTACCACCTCCACTTCACCTACTCTCCACCTACTCCCAAACACACTCCTATATAATAGGAATCCTTGTAATTGTAATAGATACAACAACATATATCAATCAATCTTGTAATACATCAAGATATCCATCAATAATACAATTTATTCTCTTTCTCTCTCTATCAATATTACATCTTCATCATGATACATTCATCCACCTTTGGAGGGACTAGCGACCTCAACTAGCCTATCTGGCGTGACCTGCGACACCACCCAACTCCTTGGGTCTGCCTCTCGACTTCACCCAATCCCACAGCCTTCTTCGATTAGGCCTGGTTTGAGTAAACCATCTGCTCTTCTTTTCTATTAGAGGAATCCCTTTTTGTTTGCTGAGTTTCTTCCAAGGCACTGTTTTGATTGAAAGTTTCTCTTCTCTATTTGTTCCTTATTTTTCTGGGTCAATTTATGGGCCCTAATACTCAGCTTTGACTAATTCTGCTCATGGTCTGTGATTGATATTGCTTGGTCTAGTTGATTTCAATTTATTCCATCTTTCTATCATTGTGATTAGTGCAAAATTTTTTGGTTGTGATAGTAGAGTATAAATGGCTGGCCTGTCTAATGAATCTACTACTACTTCTCACCTACCTAAAGAGGAGAGTCCCATTATGACTACTAAATCTGAGAACCAGAATCCTAACCTCAAAATCACCACCTCTTTATTTAATGGTCAGAATTAACTTTCGTGGTCGTAGTCTCTGACACTTTTCAGGGGAAGATGAGTTATGTTGATGGGCAGTCCAAACACCAGGAATCACTGATCCTAGTTATGACCAATGGGAGATTAGATTACTAACTCCTTGATTATGGGTTGACTCATACATTTCATGGTCCCGGATATTGGTGAGAGTTACTTGTCCATGGAGACTGTCCAAAATATTTGAGATGCTGTGGCCACTACCTATTCCCGAAAGGGAATTTTTCACAAATTTTTGAGTTGCGTCGATCTATTGAGCGCTCAATAGATCGAGGGAGTAAACTGTTCTTCAGTACTTTACTTTTCTGAATAATGGATGGAAAAACCTTGATCACTTGCAAGACTATAAACCGGTCTGCACAACTGATTCAGTTGGATACAGAAAGTTTATTGTACAGGAACAGGTCTTCAAGTTTTTGGAAGGTCTCAACTTAGAGTTTGATCTGGTTCACAGTCATGTCCTTAGCATGGATACCCTTCCCTCTCTTCATGAGGCCTTTGCTTATGTACAGAATAAAGAGAGTCGTCGGTCTGCTATGATGCCATCTGCTACTACAGAACACTCTGCCTTACTTTTTGCTCCTTCTAGGAATGGGACCAATCTGCCTCCTACTCCTAAACCTTCCACGAAGGATAATCTATTTTGTGATTACTGCGGCCGGCCAAGACATACTCGCAAGACATGTTGGAAACTTCATGGTGCTCCATCAGGGGGTCATGGTGATCGCTCTGGTAATCGAGAAGGTAGATCAGGCCAGTCTAAAGAATGTGGATCTAACTCTCGTGCCTATCAGTCTAGTGCAGTTGACTCACATGACTTTGCTCCGGGTGTTCAAACAGGTGCTCCGAGTGTTCAAACTTCTAATGCTATGTCTAGCATGTCTACTTTTGAACTTGAGGATATTTTGCGTCACTTGCTAGATCGTCGGTCCTCCACTACTCCTACAGGTGCATTTTCCTCTTCTTTTGCCCACATAGGTAATTAGCCTCTTCTCCTAGTGCTTTTCTGTCCCATAAGTCTTTACTATGGATTATTGATTCTGGTGCCTCAAATCATGTCTGCATCGTCCGATCTTTTCTCAAACTATAAGCCCGCTTCTAGTCAAGACAAAGTTAGGATTGCAGATAGTACTATTTCTTCTATTTCTGGAAAAGGTTTAATTCATGCCACTCCTATACATTTGTCATTTGTTTTACATGTTTCAAATTTCTCTGTTAATCTTTCATCATTGAGTTGTCATACTCAGAATTTGAACTATAGTGTGACTTTTTCCCATGATCATTGTTTGTTTCAGGACCTATTCATGAGGAGGATGACTTGCAGTGGTAGAATGGAACATGGTCTCTATATCCTAGATTAGACAGACAAGCTGGCTCATCATTCTGTCCAGGTTCCAACCACCAAGGAAGACTTATAATTGTGGCATTGGCGTCTTGGGCATTTGTCTTCTTTATTACTTAGGCATTTATTTCCCTTTGTTTTTACCAAAAATAATATTTTTGAGTTTCATTGTGAGTCGTGTCAACTTGGTAAACAACACAGAGCTTCTTTTGCTCCTAATCTTAAGAAAAGTTTAGTACCTTTTTCCTTAATACATTCTAATGTTTTGAGTCCATCTCGTGTTGTGTGTTTGTTAGGTCATAGATGGTTTGTCACTTTTATAGATAACTTTTCTCATACTACTTGGTGTATCTTGTTAGAATTTCCCATCTTTACCTTCACCTACTCCACTACACACTCCACTTCACCTATCTCCACTTCACCACACACTTCACTTCACCTAACCCACTATCACCTCCACTACACCTACTACCACATTTTCTTCTATATATAGATTGTATAGGAATTGTAATTAATCAATCTTGTAATACATCAACATTACATCAATCAATAATACAATCATTTCTCTGTATACATTAAATTTCTACATATCTCATGAAAAAAAAGAGAGGTTCTTTTTGTATTTCAAAATTTTCATAAAATGATTAGTACTCAATTTGGAGTAGTTATAAAAATCTTGCATTCTGAGAATAGGGGTGGATATATTGATTCAGGGTTAGCGAGATATTTTTCCACACATGATATTGTCCATCAGACTTCTTAGACCAACACCCCTCAGCAAAATAGGGTTACCGCGCGCAAGAATCGTCATCTTCTTTATATAGCTCGTTGTATGTGTTTCTCTTTGGGTGTGCCTCGATCCTACTGGTGCGAGGTCGTTCTCACTGCCGCATATCTCATTAATCGTTTTCCTACCCAAGTTTTGCAAAAACAAGCTCCACTCCAGGTTCTCTTAGGTTTCGAGTCTCTGTTTTCTATTTCCCCTAAGATCTTTGGTTGTCTGTTTTGTCCATAATCATTCCCTTACTCAGGGTAAGTTGGATCCTTGCTCTCTCCAGTGTGTTTTCCTAGGGTACTCACCAACTCAAAAGGAGTATTAGTTATCACCCTCCATCTCGTAAGTAGTTTGTCTCCACGAATGTCACCTTCTTCGAATCCCAATCCTACTTCTTGTCCTATCCGGTGTCCCAGTCATCCCTTCAGGAGGAGTCTTGGTATGAAGAGATTCCTATTGTCCCTGTTGCCCCTGGATCATTACCAGTTGAGGAGACTGTCTAGGGTGGACCAAATGTTACTAGCAATACAAAATCTAATGTCATCAAGGACAAGGAAGGGCAAGTCTATGTCAGGGACAAAAAAAGATAGAAAGTTACTTGGATGCAAAAGACCATTTTTGATTATCCACTGCCGTCCTGATGAGAGTCCAGGTAACCTTTGTGTTCCCCTTGAGTCCACTGATATTACTATTCCTGAGCCTACTGATCTTGATATACCTATTGCCAAACGAAAGGGTGTAAGATCTTGTACTCATCATCCTATCTCTAACTTTATATCCTACTCCCATTTGTCTTCCTCATATAAGGCCTTTGTGTCAAAAAAATTTTCTGTTAGTATACATAATCATTTTCAGGATGTTCTTGCTATCTCTAAGTGGAAACTTGCCATAGTAGAGGAAATGAAAGCACTTCCTAAGAATGGCACTTGGGATTTGACTGAATTGCATAGGGTCAAACAAACTGTGAAATGCAAATGGGTGTATATTGTGAAGCACAAGGCAAATAGTTCAAATGAGCGGTATAAGGCCTGACTTGTGGCAAGGAATTTTACTCAGACCTATGGGGTAGACTACCAAGATTTGCTCCAGTTGCAAAGATGAATTCAGTTAGAGTTCTTCTCTCTTTAGCAACTAATCTGGATTGGCCACTTCATCAATTTGATGTGAAGAATGTTTTCCTGCATGGTGACCTAGAAGAAGAGATGTATATGGACATTCCTCCTGGCTTTGAAACTCTTCAAGCCAAGGAAAAGGTGTGTCGACTTTAGAAATCATTATATAGCCTCAAAGAGTTCCCTAGGGCTTGCTTTGAGAGGTTTACTTAGGCAATGCTAAAACATGGCTTCAGACAGAGTCAGGCTAATCATACTTTGTTTGTTAAAGACTTCTCTCGTAGTAAGATAATAGCTCTCATTGTATATGTGGATGACACAGTACTTACAGGAGATGATGTTGAAGAAGTTCCTTTGTTGAAGAAGTATTTGGCAAGTGAATTTAAAATCAAAGACTTAGGGAACCTGAAGTATTTTATGAGGATTAAAGTGCTAGATCCAAAGATGGGATTTTCATTTGTTAGAGAAAATACGTCCTTGACCTGTTGAAGGAAACATGGATGCTTGGAAGCAAAACCTGCGACACACCACTGGAACCCAATCAGAAACTTAGTAATGATAGTGGGGGAGCAGCCATTGATAAGGGGAGTTATCAGAGACTAGTGGGTAAACTCATTTACTTATCCCATTCTCGTCCAGATATTGATAGTGTCGTCAGTGTGGTTAGCCAGTTCCTGCATACTCCTCATGAAATACACTTGGATACAGTTATGAAAATTTTGAAATAATTGAATTTTCTCCTGGAAAAGGTCTTTATTTTTCCAAATATAATCATCTTAGTGTGGAAGCTTATACAGATCCTGATTGGACAGGCTCAATAACTTATAGGAGGTCCACTTCAGGGTATTGTACCTTTGTTGGAGGTAATTTGGTTACTTAGAGAAATAAGAAACAGAATGCGGTTGCCAGGTTTAATGCAGAAACTGAGTTTAGATCTATGGCACAATAGCACAAAGTGTGTGTGAGCTCTTTTGGATAAAGTTGTTATTGCATGATCTGGGAATTGGCCAGACAGATTTCATGCGGCTATATTGTGATGATAAAGGCTGCTATCAATATAGCTCACAATCCGGTTCAACATGACAGGACAAAGCATGTTGAGATCGACTGGTGAACAACTTACAAATATCTTCACCAAGGGAGTTGGAAGTAAACTTTTTCATGATATTCTTGGCAACCTGGAGAAGAGAGATATCTTTGCACCAGCTTGAGGGGGAGTGTTGGAATATATGTTAGAATTATTATGATTGTTGTTTCCTTATTTAGATTATTGTGAATCCCTTAATTGGTGCCTTAGTTCCTTTGTAATAATTTTTGATTGATTAATATAAAAGGGAGTGATATCATAGTCATCCCTTAAGTTTGTCTTTCATCAAAGAAACACTAATGACAAGCTCTGTCTACAAAGAGTTTGGATTTGTTCATAACAATTAAATTATATCTGGTCATGTTTCCACCTTTACAGTTTCCTAATTTGACATCATTATTCGAATAAAGTTTTATATAAGAACCGCATTTCATCATCATAAAAGAGAGAAATTTTTGTTTCACTCTGATACTATTATAGATTGTGTCAATGCATAGAAAATTAATGCATTTCAATACTCTCAATCTTAAATAAGTGAAATAGATATAATCATGATTATGGTTTATCTATTTCACTTATTCGCAGATGTTCTATGGATAAAAGTTATTTAATGTTCCAAACTCTTATAATTTTTATTCTGGACCACGAGAGTCATGTGTTTTGATCTCTATTTTTTTCACCCAGAGTAGGTATTGGTATTTACCTAGATTTAGTTCTTTCAGTATCAGTTGACAAGGTTGAAGTTTTTAATATCAATAGATAGTTCTCATGAATTAAATAAATAAAGGAATTCATTCTCTGCAATTTACAGTATATTAGTAATAATAATAGAGACGATATTGTGACAACCAAACCAGGTCTAGTCCTAGTTAGTTAAATAATTTAAGTGTGGATTGAAGTGGCCATGCTTACTCATCCACCATTCATCAAGAAAATGACAGAAAAGGGAGAAAGTATTCAAAGGAGAAAATTCTGCAAACCACTTACTGGAATAAATTTATCATTATATGGGTCCCACATATCAGGGTCGATTCCATTTAATATACCATGGAACTTGTACAGATGAGGAGCAATTGCAGGATTTCCAGAAACCTCCTTTGAGTAAGTGTGTGAAACCTGCAAACCATAAATATAAATTTTTTTAAATATCCATGGGATAAGAATAAATATTACAAGAAATCAACTCTTGGCTTCCGGTTGATAATAGCAAATTTTCAATTTCTTCAGTGACTCGATAACATGCTACAACAGAAAGAGCATTAAAGCTGATGAATAACTGCCTCAAAGCCAAAAAGAAAATTAGTGAAGAAATTAAATAAGAACTAACAGTTGTAGCCTTGTCTGAGTACGCCATTGCTTTCCCAATTAATGGTGCTCCAAATTCAAGGTTATGAATTGTAAAGACAACCCGAGCTTTACTAAGACCATAATGCACATAATGATCCTTAAACAACCATGCAACTGGAGCACTAGACCAATCGTGGCAATGGATAATATCCTGCCAAATGTAGAGAAAATGTCTTTAAAAATAGTGATACATAGACAGACAAGGAAGCAATAAAATTAGCAATTGTGAAAGAAGTGCTTAATTATATCTGCTACATGGAGAGAGAGAGAGAGAGATTCTTCAAGTTTTAGGTTGTATCATTGTGCCAACAAACAAATGATCATAAATATGTTACAAATAACCCATTTCATACAATTCAAACCATAAAACAACTTACAGGATGAAATCCACTTTGGAGAAGAAATTCAAGAGCAGAATGGCTAAAGAAACCGAATCTCTCCCCATCATTTTTACCACCATATATGCACCCTGTCGAAAACAATCTACGAGACGAAAAAAAAAAATATTAACAAATATCTATTATAAGTTTTCCATGGATTTAATCATATTCTGCAACTGAAATTCAAACAGGTGCTCAAAAGGAATCATGCAGAGCGGATATACTTCTGGAAATGCTACACCACATTACACGGAAGTATAAATGAAAACAACAATCCATAACTCCAAATTTGTTATGCAATTCTTGTAACAAATCATTGCACTAGTCTCTTGTGTTCTATGGATCTTTGGAATCATTGTGTTCTGGAGTTATGTTTGTTTCAGTTATAATCATTAATATATTTTTATCACAATTTTCTTGGTTTGGACATTGCAAAACAATAAATGGAAAGTCAATCATTTTGGCCATGACACAACTCTTAATAAATGGACAGAACATCCAAAGAATGAATTTCCAGATTTTGTGACCCTTTTCTTTTGAGTTCTCATCTTGGAGTATGGAACTTTTAAGTAACATTATTGTAATTTGTATCCCTTTAGTGCATTGACCTTGCCCCAGCTTTCTTTTAACAACTTTCTCTACCGGAGCCAAAACACTTGACCCAATGAAACCACAGACCACCAAAACAATTAAAAGAAGGGGGAATGGAGAGTGGGACGGCTAGAGAGAGAGAGAGAGAGAGAAATGAATCCAAGTAATTACTGTAATCCAAAAGAGTAACATTTAATGCAAGTAAAGCTCAATGTAGAATGAAAAATGTGAAGCCATGCATTGAAGAATGCCACAATATATCATCACGGGGAATTTGGTAAAGTTAGATACCACCAAAATCAGTCATAGATATCAAAATGAAGCATATCCATAGTAAGCCACCATTAGATGGTCAAGATCTCAAAAGAGAGCTAAGAGAAAGTGTACAACATTAAATTCTTTAGGATGTGTTTGGATCATGGGTTTAGGTAAGGCTTTGGAAAGGGAAAGGAAATGGCAAGGGAAATGAAGAAAAGATTTAGCTTATATTTCATTCATATTATCCTCGCCTTTCCTTTTCTCTTTCCGTTTCCAAATTCCTATCCAAATCCGTGATCCAAACCAAACGCACATTATGGGAAAAGTCATACCAAAGTTTCAATTTAAGCATGATAATACCAAGCTTTCAAAACGTATCAAGGGGCAGTGGAATGTGATTGTCTTTTGATCTAGAGAACAATCATTAATTGCAGCCTTGCTGTGTTTAAAATGGGCAGGAATAAGGAATTACCCATTTTGAGGCTCCAAAAAGTAGACAGAAAGGCCCTCAACCTTCCCAAACCAGACTTTTATTTCAGTCCGACCCCAAGAATAGCTTTTCCGAAACTCGAAGTCTTTCACCTATCTCAAAACATGTTTATTAGGTAAGTAAACACATGAAACTAAAAGAAAAAACTCAGTTAAAATGTCACTAAGAAACATAAATGCAGAATTATAAGCTCAAAGAGAACAAAATAAACACAACTATAAACATATGACAATATCCTAGTATTTAAAAAACAACTAACCAAACTAACTTTTCTTCACTAAACAATTTTCAAGTTATTAAACATTCAGAATGACTTCAATTATTTTTCTGTCAACCATTTTAAAAAGAATAATAAAAAAGAAAAGAAAAGAAAAGACAGATAGAGAAAGAGATAAATTATGTGCTATATCATATATGGAAGTTTAACACAGATGAGTAATAAAAGTATACTCCTTTACAGAGGTTGCACCGCTTTTGGTGTTTTTAGAGGATTTTACTTTACCTATCACAAAAAATATATAAATAAAATTGAGTAATAATGGTAGCATGCCTTTACAATCCCTGATATGATGCTTGACATTACTTTAGCTATAGGGTTTAATAAACAAATAATCTGTACCTACTGCGTATATAATCCTAAACACATCCAAACCATATGCAAATCTCAACCTGTCCCAGTTGAAGGCAACCAATCAACTATCCGACTTGGAATCTTTAACTCTAGCACCACATATAAGATACTCCACTTCATTAGTGTATAAAAGCAAAAAATCTAAGTGGCTTTAAGTATTTAGGAAATAATAATCCTGTTACAATAAAGTCAACACACAAAAGATAGGAAATATAACAAATGACACAGAGCTAAGTGGGACATGGGTTTTTGTGTATGACTAGTCGGAAAAGAATGAAAAACATAGTAAAATTTACAAGATGCACCATGACATGCTCCAGAAGGGCACAAAAAAAAAATTGTTAACTTCAATCTGTAAGTTTTATAGATCTCCTACTAAAGCCACATTTCTTTTACAACTAAAATATTTAACAATCATTTTCAATATCACTGTTAATGTATATTCCTCAAGTAGCAGATTCCGAAGAGGGAAAGGAGGGAAGCTAACAATCAAATGAGGGGCCAACCAGCCTAGTTTGTAAAGACTCCTGGCAGTCAATATAAGACTTGGGATTGAATCCCACTTCATTGGTCGTGTGGTATGAGTACAAGGTCACCCCATGCAAATTGATTGATGCTTTGGACAAGTACCCCAAGAAAAGAAAGGTCTAGCAGCACCAGGGTGGGGTGCAAGGGAGGAGGTTTATCCTGTATACCCATGTTTCTGAAATAAATTTTATCCATAAGTCCCCAAGAGATAGAATTTGAAAAGATATAGCTTAAGTACCACACATTAAAAACTTGGATAGCATCTCTACTTCATCAAAAATCTAGCACATGAAATAAGAAAAAGACTAAAGAAACAGAATTGAAGCTTACATTGCTAAGGTTCAAACAATCATACTTTGGAAGGATAATGTCGACAGTATGGTTTAAATCTTGAATAGCACGGGAAAGACTAGTGACAACATCACCAAGGCCGCCAACCTGCAAAATATTTGAATATAACACGAGCAACAAAAAAAAAATGAAGTAGAGATGCAGCAGCAAGCAAGCAAACAAACAAAAAAAAGACACAGAAATGCCTGGTGGTTAGGTCATATAAAACTTAACATTGGCTAACAATTTATTATTTAAGAAGGAAACTTCAATAAATGCTTCAGAAACATGTGTCATCCTTTGAAATAGGAAGCAATTATGGTGTGCCTATGTTAAATGAAGTTTGTTAATATAGCAGGTTCTTTTTCCTCGAACACTCCATTTTCTCAGATATTACTAAAGCCTTCAAAAATATCACAACCCTTTTTTTTTTATCTGAATGAAATTTGTTACAAACAAGACAATATGAGGTGGTAGTGGTGTAGTGGGTTAGGTTTAGTGGAATAGGTGAGGTGGTAGTGGTGTAGTGGGTTAAGTTTAGTGGAGTAGGTTTAAGTGGGTGAAGTAGGTGGAGAGTAGGTGAATTGTGGAGAGTAGGTGAATTTTAACAGCAGGTTCTTTTTCCTCGAACACTCCATTTTCTCAGATATTACTAAAGCCTTCAAAAATATCACAACCCTTTTTTTTTTATCTGAATGAAATTTGTTACAAACAAGACAATATACAAAATGATGAAAATATAAATAAATAGAAAATAAAAACATAAGGATTTCAAGGACTAATCTGGAAAGACAACCCTGTTTACCATGAAGAGTCAATGATGTCATGTTAGGTAAGAGATTCACCTCCCAGACAACACCTCAGGAACGATAAGAAAAAGTTCCGAAAAATAATGATAAGTCAAGGATATCTCTAAGAAGGCAGCATCCACGATTTGTACAAGCACAATATACATCTTTTGTCTCTTCTCTTCCTTCAATACTAGTTTCAAATCACACTGAACAAATAATAACTCGTACAACAGCAACAGATTGCTCTTCCAGTATATTTCTTGAAACACAAATTTCTGAAGATACATCACTGTCACAGGCCACTCACAGCAATAACTAAATACAACAGACAAAGACGGTCTTGCAACTTGCTCCAAGTATATCTTTAAATCAGCTTTTATTAGTGGTTAACTTAAACATCAATCTCCCATCATTGATAGTCCAAATGATTAACACCTTTGGCCAAATACACAGTTGCATTCAAGAAATAATCTCTTGCATTACCACAAGTAAGATTACTTCTTGACATCATTGAATCCATACATGAATTAAAATTAAAGATATTTAAAGAAGTATCAACTCCCTAAAATTTTTTCTTCTTTGCTTGTCTGCAACAGAAGAAAAACTAACCAAACACCAAACTGCACCATTTCATTCTAGCCATCAGGCTGTATAATTCCTGTTGGTAACACAGATAAAACTCAAACAGTTTGATTGAAGTATTCAAATCTATTTAAAAATGTGGAACTGCTTCAAAGTACTGGTGCAACAACTATGCCCCACTTGCACAATTCTGAGAAAGTATGACAAAAAGAAACTCTGCCTAGTTTGAAGTGATACAATACAGACGAAAATAATCATGTTAACATAAAGCATGAGGAAAAATAAAATAAAATAAAATATCTATATAATCACAAAATAGGTCAGTGACCAAAAGTAACCTTTGCAATGGGTGCCATTTCAACAGAAATATGCACAATGTGCATAGGTGGCTCCTTCAGAACTCCTCCAGACACAGGTATGTGGTAGTCCATACCATTTTTGTTATCAAACACTCCACCATCTTCCCTCTCGGAGAACACAAAGTCCATCATATATGCATCCAGTGGAACCTTGACTGCAAAACACATCTTATCAACATTTGCCAATACAATATGTGACAACTAAAGGTAATTCTTTGCATATGGATAACACCCATGTGATTCAAAGGACAATATTTGTATATGCAATGTCATATAGCTCCACCAACCACACACTTTACTAAGAAATTTTATTGGCCTTGCTGAGGTTCACCTATGCAAAAAACACTTGGTTAAAAAAACTCATGTCTTAATGGGCATGATTGGTGTGCACAATTGGTGTATAGCTGCATAGTTGCACCAACCAGAAAACTTGAGGATAAATTGAGAACGTCCTCATAAGATGAATCTACACTAAGTACCTGGTTAACAAAAGCTCACAGTTTTCAACCACAAAGCTCATCATGAGTAACACACATAATACCACATAATGTATGTCAAAATGTGAACCAAAATCCCATTATTGGGTGAAAGGACCTCAAATTGCTAGGCGCGATGAGTCTGGCTTGACAAGAGAAGTTCACTGGTCACCAAAAGGCACTTGTAACAAAAAATAAAAATAAAAATAAAAATGAAGGAAACAATGCTATTAACCAATGGGAAACATTATTGTCTTATCTCATCAGCCTTATTCTTTTCCAAGTTCAGGTCCCTGGTGCTTATGTCACCTTATGCAAAGCTTGTGTGACGTATATAAATTAGAGAGACTGTAAGCACAAACTTGGGAAATACAACAACCAAAGTAACATTGAGAGATATATTGTAATGAGTTAGAAAGTTCAACCCAAGGAAGATCCTGAGCCTCAAAGTCAAAGAAATTCGAACCCCATTTCTAAATGTGAACAATTCTCATAAACCTCTAACTAATCACAGATTAGAATTAAAATAATTGAAACCTCACTACCCACCAGTGACTTTGACATGAGAACCATTCTCTGCAGGCAACATTTTTTGTGGTGGCAATGGGCCCATATGGTGGGTCCAACGGTTAAATGAGCCTCTAAACCAAATTTCAGGTTTTCCATTCAGAACTGTATTCACAGGATTGTAGAAAACTGTCACGTTACTTCCTGCTCGAATACCTAGAGGCTCCGTGTACACTATATGCTTTTGAGACAACAGAAACCTTTTAAAAGTCCTCTCCTTCATTTCGGCCTTCATACGTGCTGCTCGTTCAGCCTGTGAAAAAACAAAGAAAAGATGAAATAGAGGGATGGAGAAATCAAGGGGAAAACTTACAAGTAGCGGGCATGTCAATTTTCATTGAGAAAGAAGATAAAATTGGCAAGAACAAGGCTGCATGGCTTCGAATATTTCTACCAAAATTCTGAAGATGTAGAGGATATAATTTTATATCCGTTAGTTGCTGAATGCTACTACTGCTGCTGCTGTGTGTGTTTTAGTTTATGATCACTCTGAATGTGATTGCATGAATAACTGACCTTGGTGCGTATTGCCTCCTCTCTTAACCTCCTTTCCTCATGGAGTTTTCTATAGATCTGATGTTCTTCTTCAACCCAATACTGTTCATCAAGGAAGCCTTTGGGGACAGTAGCATGAAAATCTTGATGATGATTGTTATCATAAAGCATGGCCTGCTGAGGTGGACCATCAGCAAAAACCCAATCCAAAACAAAGGCTTGATCAGGTACAACAACTACAGAAAATAAAAAGTTGTTCAAACAAATGTCATTGTCCAACATGCAATATATGTAACAAAAGAGCATGAACTTATTACAGATGGAGAAATCTATCATAGATTTTGAGAGAAGATCATTACACCACGGCATGTCCGTCCAGTTTAAAAGTTTTGAAGATACAGACAAATGATGAGGCAATAAATAAATATTTTAATTACTGTTAAACAACTTTTTTTGACAAGTAATTAATGTGAAACAACTAATCCAACTCAAAATCACCTAATCCTAACTATTTGGTGTTGAGTTCATACACCCTATTTTAACATTCCATTATGTCACTTTTTGCCATGAACAATCATTCACATCTGTAAACAAAAACTGCTACAAGTGTGGCAGTCAATTTTACTTCATGTCTGCTAGGAAAAGAAGTGGATTAATTTAAAACCTAGCCAGAATATGATTCTTGCACATTTTACACAAGATAACATCTGACCCTCCATAATTACGAATTTACAAGTACCTTAAAAAGCAAAGGAATTATCATGGGAGGGGATGAAATGACTGATGCTGTGTGGAGCTGAGAGGATTACCGAACTAGCCCAGTATCCTCTTAAATTCTCCAGCACTTCCAAGTTATTTTGGTCGGTGATATTCATGGTTTTAAAAAGTGACCGCAACCATTACGTAACTACGTAATGGTTGTGGTAGTTACCGCCACCTGTTACGGCCGCTTTTGCAGTGTGATTGAGATTCACAGATGTATCGGCCATAGCGGCTGATATAGCGGTCGTAACGGTGTTGTAACGGCCGTAACGGCCCATTACGCACGTTACAGGGCTTTTTTAGTTGATTCTTTTAAAAAAAAACATAAACAAAATAAAAGGCTGAAGATGTTGTACATACCTTTATTATAATTGAGCTTTTGTCTTTCGTCTTTACAGCCTGTCAACCACATTGAAGTGAGATTCCATAGGTGTATCGGCCATCCACAAATTTTCATATCTGAAATACGGATGAGTAAGAAATAGAGAGAGAGAGAAGAGAGAAGAGGGAAGATGGAAGAGGGAAGAGATGAACCTGTGTTGAATCTTCAAGGCTGCCTTTGTTTTGTGTTAAAACCAGTGACTCTCCAGTTGCCCCTTTGTGTTGAAGACGAAGTAAGTGCATAGTTTGATCTGTTGCCTTTTTTTATTATTTTGTTTGTTCAGCTGCCTTTCTGGCTAGCTTCCTGTTTTCGTATAATATAAAATCATTAATTATTAAAATAAAATGTAAAAAACTCAGTTTATAGTTATTTAAAAATATGAAATATATTGGATCAAACTTAAAAATTTATAAAAATTGATCAATATTTATTTTAAAACCCAATAAATATGATCATGGAAAAAAAATGTGCGTATCGGTAAGTTTTTTTCAAATTGTGCGAAAAATAAAAAAATTCACGGTTCCGGTTACCGCAACCGTTACGTTACGGCCTTTACACCCCGCAACCGCAACCGCGCCACCGCCACTGCCACCGCCACCGTTACGGCGACCGCAACCGCTTTTCAGAACCTTGGTGATATTGATAGCTAAAAAATTCAAATACTAGAGAGAAATGCAGCAGGGACTTAACTAGAGCAGAAAGTATAGGCTAATCTCTTAGTTAGCAAATTAGTACAGGGACATTTAATGAGCATGTGTCTTGAATTCTGAGATGTCAAATCTCCCTCATAGTGTTTGCCAAGATTCACAGGTAGCCCAACACATTCAAAGTCGATACTAATTTCCATGGATGAACACAATCACCCTTTAACTTTGGCAACTAGTAAGCTTGGGCAGAGTCAAAAGTAAGACATCTTGTCCCTGGGCCATGGCGTAGGCCAAGTGACTAAATAACATGCACCTTGTTAGGCAATTGATGAAACAAAGAGATTCCATATATGCATTGGACAATAAATGCCAACTATCATAGTCAACTACATAATTCAATTCTTAACAAAGTTATACAGACTGGTTATGTTAACGTCGCATTAACAAGTTGGTTGTCATCTCCTCTCCCAAAATCACCAATAACACATGAATCACCTCAGGGATTGAGGTTTGATTTTCAATATGAGAAGTCTGCATTAGCAAGAGCAAACTCTCACTAGTTTGTCCAAGAAGCTAAGCCAACTGACAGTTTAGTAGAAAATCATTTGAATCAAAATAGTGCACAAAATACAATCAAGCAATGGTGATATCTGCTAAAATACAGAATCCATTGTTCTTTTTTCAATTAGTTTAATATAATTCCACCAAGTAAATCAAGAAGCTGAGTTTCAACATAGCTTCAGTCACTACTGAAAAACGATAACACCAAAACCAGTTTTGTTCTTATTTTTTCAACTTAAAAATAAATAAATAAATTCAGCTGAAAAATGGAACAATAGGCCATAGCAAGTAAAATTTTTGACAACCACCAATATTACCAACAAAAGGAGGGGTGGGGGAAAAGCAACATTGGGAGACTCCATGTCACTTTAAATCAAGTGCAAGACTTACATTAACTGAGTAAACACACTCCAAAAAAAAATTCTTTCAAATATATCCTAGTATTCAAAGAGAGCATGGAAACTACTCTTCATAAGGAAGAATAAACAAAATTAATGAACATGCCAATAGAGGAATATATCGTATAACAAAAATGGAAATAAAACAAAACTTTTAGTCATAGGCTTATTGGCATCTGCAATTTTCCTATCTAGTTGATATAATTTCTAATAGTTATCAATGCAACCATAATGGTAGATACCCCTATCAGATTGACATATTTGTGGCAACTCCCTTACTCATAGGCATTAATACTATTTCTTGCTATATGTCAGGAATCAGTGGATATGGTATACAGGTGTAATTTTTAATTATGGTTGCAATCTCACAAAAACTAGTACAAGTTTTATCCCTGTTCATCAACCCCCAAAAAACAGAAAAGATTTAAAAAGTTATAATTAATTAACATAATGATTTATCATGTCAAAAAATTCCAGATTGTATATTACATAAGGCACAAAATCCAACCACTTAAGCCGGCTAAATAAGCTTTTTTTTTTCACCAACAAACAGTTCCAACTGCTTCATCATGCATGTAAATTATTATTTTTATGCCACCCATATGACATTTTATTTTCTACTAGAGCATAATGAATGTCATGCATATCAAATTTTATTCACACATACCGTCAGCATACCACCAGTCACCATCCTTTTTGTCAGAGCTGAAAAGCCTTGCGACAATAGACAAACCATCCTTCCAATTATTGTGACCTCCGTGCATCCACAGATCCTTAGCATGAGCAAGTGGACCTGAGCTCCTGTTATAATATAACCTGACCTTTTCCTCACCTTTGAACTCACTAGGCTCTATGTACCAGACTTTATCAACAAACCTTACGGCCTTTTTCATCAATTCCTGCAAAATTTCTTTTTTCCTATGAACCTCTTCTCTTGCCCGTGCTCTATCAGCTTCACTTGCAGCCTTCTCTGCCTCTATTCGCCTCTGTTCCTCTGCCTGCCTTTTCCTTTCAGCTTGCTCCTTGGCAAGTTTCTCAAGTTCCCTCCGTTTCTCCTCAAGCAAGAAATCACGAAATGCAAATGCGTCCATTCCACCTTCCACAGTTATACAGAAATCTTTTGTGTCATTATTGTCATAGACATCCTTTCCGTTAAAGAAAACAAAATCCATTTTGTATGCTTCTTTAGGAACATGAACCTGGCAAGACCACCAATCCCCTTTGAGATGAGACTTGTTCAACTTTGCAGTAAAAGATTTCCATTGCCAATCGTTGAAGGCTCCCATGATCATTACATTGGATTCACTATGTAGAGTGGAGAGGCTTCTATTAAGGAACACTTCCATATCTTGATCCGGTTTGACTACCTCAGGATAGTATAACATTTTAATCCCTTTTGAGAAGTTCTCCTCAGCAAGCCTCTCAAGCACCTGTTTACGCATGATAGCTTCCATCTCCAACTTCAATTTTAGAGAAGAATCCTCATTCTCTTTTTCTTTTTGATAAATCTCATTCTCTTTTTCTTTACTGTCTAACATGTTGACTTGCTTCACTGATTCTGATTTCCTAGACTGATTCCGGGTGTTATCTTTGTCAATCTTAATGCTTTCCTTTTTTCTGACATCATCACTCCCAAGACCACCCAAATGTTTTCCTTCTAAATCCGTTCTGCTCAATGCATCTCTAACATCACTCTTTGCAGTCATAATTGTTTTTTTTGACTCATCCATTTCAATCCTTTCATTGTGCTTCACAACTTCACTCTCGGCAATATCCAAGGGCATTCCTTCTAAGCCAGCTCTATCTACCCCATCCTCAACAGTCTTTACAATTGTTTTTTGTACAGGTAGCTTTGTAAAGTCCTCATTAATTGAAGCAATTCTTCCATTTTCGGCCACTTGATGTACTTTTGTAGCCACCACTTGTTTTCTTATCGACGAAGCCTCTTTAACTTTTCCATCAACTAAACCCTCTTGATCTTCTTCAATTTTGTTTGCTCGATTAACTCCGACCAACTGTTCTTTATCAGTATTGACTTTCATTTCAACTCTTTTATTGTTCGGACCATCATACTCACTGGACCTAGCAGTACTCTGCCGTTCTTTCTCTTCATTATTCCTTTGATCCCACTTCTGAATACCTGTCCCCACCTCTGATTTTGGCATAAATCCTTTTGGAGAAGAATCTTTAGACCTTGGAGTCGACATTTTTTTAGGTCTTCTTGAAAAATCTACATTAAACACAATATACATGTTAAATAATTGAATTGAGAAATTATTAAAAAAAAAAAAATTAAACTTCAAACAGGAGCATTTCAATTTCAAGTAATTAACCTGAACTTGCAGTTATTCGATTTGAAACCCGAGCCACTGTGAAGTCTCTTTGCCATGAAGAAGACTGAAGAAAATTCATAAATAAACAGAAATTATTGTCCTATAGCCTTAATTTGCTTACAAATTCTCTATACTATACTATAAATCGAACACCTCAGTTGGTGTTGAGTAATTGAAACAAAAATGAAGCTGTGTAATGCTTATCCTTATACCAAACTTACCCAAACAAAAGCATATTTTCACAATTGTTTAAACTATTCCCATTAGTAACTTCTTGGCAAAAAAATTGTACAAAAACACAGCCCAAAATCACTTGATGAATGTGAATATATTAAAGACATACAAGTGTTCAGTTATTACTGAAACAAACAACTACTTACTGAATCTCTCCATGCAGGTCCTTAACAAGAGTAGTGCTACTCTAACCCAAAAGTTAGACCCATTTTCAGCCCAAATAATGGGCAGTCTATTAAAATATCTAAGTCAACTTTCTTTTCTCATATTTTCTCTAATCATCAACCAATCAACTCTTTTACAGTCTGAAAAATAGGTCTAGAAAGTGAACTTGTATACCATTTTCCTTAACGAAATCACTTGAGAACCAATAATCAAAACATAAAAGGCCTTGTTTGGTTTGTCTCTTGAAAGATAAATTTTAAGAAAAAAATTTCAAAAATTTGTTTGGTTGAAAATTTTTGAAAAAAAAAATTCAAAAACACTTCTCTCTACTACACATCAATCAATTACTTTTTTTCTCTCTCTTTTCTCCTTCTCTTACCCATCAATCAATCACTTTTTCTTTTACCCCCATCAATTCAATTTAAAAAAAAAAAAAAAGTAAATCATCCCAAACTCAAACTATTTTCGAAACATACACCCAAACAAATTTTCAAATTGTGTAAATTCTTTAAACAAAATTATTTTCCAAAATTGTTTCACAAATACAAACCAAACATGGCCAAAATTTATCAACAACAATTAATATTTGCACAACTAATTTTCAATCAATTCATAATTCAACTCAGAGATAAAAGAAAGAGAAGTAACCAATCAAACATCAAATACAATCCCAAATGAGCATTGAAGCTACAAATCACAAAACATGTATGTGAGTACATATATTAACAGTTCATCAACAAACACTAAAACCACCGATTGAATATTTGAAACAGAAAATCCATAACACTCATACATTCACAGTGTAAAGAGATTTACTTGTGAAGATTGATTGGTAGTTCCATGAGGGAAGAAGCCAAGAAAAGGTTTGATCCTGAAGTGGGTTCTGGGAGTGAAGATTGCTCTGCAACAGAGAGGTTTCTGTACTTGCAAAGGGACTTCCATGGCTGACCCTTTCTCAAAGAATGCCTGCCTCTCTTCGTCACCACCACCAATCAGTTGGGAACATCCCCTCTCTCTCTCTCTCTCTCTCTCTCTCGCTGATCTCTATCTCTCTCAACAATTTCTGTGCATACATATTATAAGGGGTCTCTATATATATTTTAAATTTTAAAGAAAAAAAATAAATAATAAAATGGAGTACATACTAATTTATATAATTTTTTAATATATTTTTTTTTATAAAAAGTCAAAAAATTAAGTTAAACATTCATATTTTTTCTTTTAATTTTTTAATCTAAAAAGATAAAAGGTACACTTATTTAGAACATCTCAAACTACTCCTAAATTTAAAAGTATCAAATTTATAAAGTGAGGCTAAAAATTGTAATTGTATATCATTTTTCTAAAATGAAAATGTACTAAGTCTAATGATCTTGTGTATTCGCGGTGCACTGAATTGGGTTGTGTACAAAAGTTTGAACGGTAAAGGTTGCTTGGTCATTCTAGATTAGCTTTGATAAGTTTTGGTAATGAAGATCGAACGGTGTTGATTGAGAGGACTTTTGAGTTTTTTTGTGACGTTTATATACACCAGTTGTTTTATTCATTTACTTTTTTTGAGTTTTTTTCTTTTTCTTTTTAAGAAATGTGGAATTTGAGAGGTGAAATTTTGAGGAGGTGGGACGCTGCTACGCAATCTGCACAGTAGTGTCTGTTGTGTCGCGATTTGGACCCATTTCAGGACTTATTTTGATAATCTGAACTGTTCACATTTTAGAATACGTCAAGTAGAACATGCCTACAAAAAATCAAGTTAATCGAATATCGTTTTTCTATTCATCCACTCATATTTGTATTTATTTTAATCAAGTTAAAATACATTTGTATTTATTTTTGTAGATACAAATATGAGTGAATAAATGAGTAAACGATATTCGATTAACTTAATTTTTTACAAACATATTTTACTTGACGTATTCTAAAATATGAACGATTTAAATTATTAAAATAAATTCTGAAATGAGCCCAAATGACCACACAACATACACTGCTGCACGAAGTGCGCAGCAGCGTCCCCACATCAGAAATTTGCTAGGGAGGAATCAACAAGGATCGGCACGATGAGTGGGGACTTGTGACGTGGTGACAGCGTGATGGAAAGAGACTTTAATAATATTATAGATTCAGATATAAAATTTAAAAATTATCTAAAATTTCATATTAAATTGATGGAAAGATACTTTAATAATATTATAGATTCAGATATAAAAATTTAAAAATTATCTTAAATTTCATATTAAATAGCTTAGATTAATTTTATATGTAGATCTCATATTTTATTAATTTAATTTTAACCACAAATATTTATTTTTGAATAAATTTTAAGCCTCAAATTCTAAGAGATATATATAATTATATATATGTTGGAACAATCTAGGATTTTCTCGAGAAAACATCGGTGTGGGTCAGGTCCACTTGTCAATCTCTTATTAGAGACCAACTTGTCACCGTTGGTTTAAAACCTGAACATGGACTTGATCCGGGCTCAAAGCAAAGCCCACACTACCCCCAGTCCAATAATTGGAAAAATTACTATTCAGGATGGTTTTTGAAAAATTTAAAAAATATTAATAACAAAAAATTATAATTATAATTATTAATATTTATAAAATTTATCACTTATCTATAATAAAAAAAAAATTTCTAACACACCATTGGTGTGTAATTCACCCATTAGTAATCAACTAGTAAATCATCCGTGGTAAGCCTCCAATGAAAGAAATCTTTTTATTTTTTTAATTTTTAATTATTATTTTTATAAAGAAAATAAAATAAAATGTCAAGGAGAGAGAGAGAGTGGCGTCCCCATCAACATTGTGTGCGTGTCCCCAAATGTGTGGGCCAGAGAAAACAACATGAAGTCCTACGTTTTGCCAATTACAATTAGGGGTGTGCGCGGTGCGGGTCCGTGCGGTTTAAGAGAAAAATAAAAATTGTATGGCGGGTGGCGGATTGATAAAAGTGTTACTAGAATTTGTCATTTTCCTTATCAAAAACCGGCGGTTCGATTGGCAAATAATGACGGATTTGCCTTGGCAGTTCGGGCGGATTAGCGGTTTATAAAAAATATAATTCAAATTACAAAACTTAAATCAAAGAGTAAAAAAAAGACGAGAGATACCGTGATGTTAAGCATCTTGAAAAGTGAATTGGAATCCAACTTTATTTTGGATTATTGACATCTTGAATTCCCTTCGAGCAGTAATGTAACACTATATTCTAAGGTATAGAACAACAAGCAAACTTAAGTAAAAAAAATTTTTTAGAATCTTATAAAACATGATTTAATAGCGGTGCGGGCCGGTGCGGTTTGGAAGAAAAATAGAAACCGGCGGATTGATAAAAGTGTCACTAGAATTTGCCATTTTTCTTACCAAAAACCGGTGGTTCGATTGGCAAATAATAACAAATTTGCCTTGGCGGTGCGGTTCGGTGCGGTTTTGACGATTTTGGCGGTTTCGGCGGTATTATGCACACCCCTAGTTACAACCTTTGGTGGTGAAAAAAATAGTTTTTACAAAATAAGGGGTTATTTGGAAACTCTCCACTGTAGTTTAAAAGTTAAAGAAATTATTAAATTTTAGAAAGTTAAAAAAAAAATTATTCATTTAATTTTTTTTACATATTTTCGTAAGAAATAAAAATTTATTCTAAATATATTAGTCTTTTTTCTTATTTTTTAACAAAAAAATTAAAAAAAAAAAAACCTTGTTCGCTAGCCCCTAACTCTTACTGCAAATTATGTTTAATTTTTATTTTAATAATAAATTAATAAAAGTATAATTTTTTAAATTAATAACATAAAACATTAGGTTTCTTAATTTAGTTTTTTGGTTAAAGGTTTTTTGGTTACGACGGATCAATTCTTAATTTAGTTTTCATTGTTAAAAGTTTCTTACTTTCCCTTTAAAAATTAAGTGGCGACTCTTTATTCATTAAAGGGATATTTACCGATAAATCTCACCCTACAAACAGTTTTACCAGTTGGTCCCAAGGTTTGTTTTAGTGTTCTCATTAGTCCTATTAATGGGGAAATATATTTCCATTTGATCCTATATTCTTTTGTTTGGCATAATTGAGTGAGACAATTGTGCCCTTCCTTTCACACACATCCGTTTTGGTTGGGATTAGTTGTGCACATTTGGCAATTCGTATATTCTACTAGTTGGATGTTCGTTGTACTGTGTTAGGGTTTTGGGGGCTGCATAGGTGGGGGTGTATGGACTGCGTCATGGGTGTATGTGTGGCATATTAACGGCGAATCTCAAACAAATTACAAAGAAAAATACACTATCCCACCAACCAAGATGGCCCATCAAAAAACCCCTTTCAAAACACGACACACCAATACAGCATAACATTACCACTATCAAACACAATCAACACAACCCACACATCCATAACAAACACAATACAAACCATGCAAAATAACAGAAGACAAAAACCCTTACTCGCAACACATGCTGTCACACTGTCACCACACAAAATTGCAACCAAACCCTCAATGTACCTTCCAAACAAACAAATACCAACAAAAACCCACTCTCCCCCCACAATATTTGACACACACATAACCCCCAACCCCAACGAATCTAAAATGGTACATGTGTTACGACATACATACACATTTTGTGAACCTTTAACCAAAAAAATACATTTACAAAATGAATACGATGCAGTAATGTGTGACATTACTTACCTCTCGCCGTTATCGTCTCGTCCACGAGCACCAATTATTACAATAAACACAAACCTCACACTGTTTCATCCTCTTCTGTCACTATCTCCCAATGCAGCACCCCACTTGTGACAACAAATCAACAAACCCACTCAATCAAATCATTACTCCCTCACATCTAACTCAGAAATACAGAACGTCCGTCACACTTCAATCGGTATTCCCAAAAATGGGTTCTACAACATGTGCAACACACCACCCCAACTAAAAAAATTATAAAAAGTTATAGTGTACTTTTGTGTTGTGTGGCACCACTCACACGCACAAAATGCTATGTGATCAGCATACAATGCCACGTGACTAACACAACCCACAAACAAAACGCCCTACACGGCCAAATTATGTCTCATAGCTGCCATGCATAAAAAACCCCCAACGATAGCACTTCTGTCTTTTACATATCATAAAGGACCAAATGGATCACAAGTAATAATTTGGGACCAAATGGAACACAAGTTCAACATTTAGGATTTATAAGTAACTCTCCCCTGATTAAAGCAAGTTTGCACAACACTTGTGTGGGAACGGGCTTTAAAATCAAAAAAGATACGGTGTCCACACCAAGTATTTCTAGATATAAGAATCATTAAAAACATTGCTTATCTTAACACGCTGCAGACATCACTATTTCATCATAGAAATAGGTAAAAGTTTGACTTTCCTAGTGATTCTTATGAATCACACACAACTTGATTGTCCATTTGGATCTAGATCTTTAGATCTCCAGCCAACTAGGTTGGGTTGCTGTTGTGGTAACTCTTGTTTAATAGGCTTAAGTTTCATTCCTCTCGATTAATTCTCAGCTAACTCTCTTGCTAACTCTTTGATTAACGGATCTGATATGTTGTCTTTAGACTTTACATATTCAATGGAAATGATTCTATTAGAGAGTAATTGTCTCACGGTGTTATGTCAACGACGGATGTATCGTGACTTACCGTTATACATATGACTATGTGCTCTACCTATTACCGATTGACTGTCACAATGTATGGATATAACAAGCACAAGTTTGGACCACACTGGAATATCTTCAAGAAAATAACGAAGCCATCATGTTTCTTCTCCAACTATATCTAAAGCTATAAACTCATATTCCATAGTAGACCTAGCGATATAAGTCTATTTGGAAGATTTCGAAGACACAACCGCACCTCCGAGAGTAAAAACATATTTACTAGTGGATTTTGATTCTCTTGTATCCGATATCCAATTTGCATCATAGTATCTTTCAAGTACTGCTGGATATCGAGTATAGTATAATCCAATGTTACAAGTAAATCTGAGGTATCTCAAAACTTTTATAATAGCTTTCCAATGCTTTACTCTC